TTTTAATTGCTCCATCTATTGGTGGGGAGCATCACCTGCTGGAAACCGGGTCCAGCGTTACATCTTTTGAAACCTTTGGTATGAATCCTTCAGAACAGATGATCGTGCTGGAAACCGGGTCCGGCGTCCCATTGGCGTTCCCCTAGTCCAGTCCTATCCCCTACTACAAAGTTCATCCGAAAAGAATGTATTTCTCAGAAACTGCTCCCTGTATAATAGAGGACCATTGGAAGCCATAGGAGTTGTCGTCGGAGATGCAGACGACCCATCATATGGTATCGACGGACTTCCGCATCTGCAAACCTACCTGGTATTCCATGCGTCCAAGTTGCTTCCTTGTGTATCAGACAGATAAACTCTTTCCCCTGAGGCAGATCAACGATACCCCCTAACGTGGACGGTAAGGTTTATGACATAGTCGTACAGTTGATCAGGATGTCTACACATAAGGGAGAAGGGAATGGCCACAAATTCTGTGTAAAGTTGTATAACTCACAAAGTCCATTTTCAATTTCAATAGCCCCAGTTAGCCAGACGATAACCGATGGTTTACCATGGCAGAACTCAAAGAGACAGATCCCACAATAGTCTCTCATTCTGAGTAGGTCCAATGAGGGATTGGTATTACAGAGAGGTGAATAAAATATGAGGACCTCAAATTTAGGCTGGGGGGAGTGAAAGCATTTCACATATCTCAGCGTCTGAGCCCCAATCCGAGTCCCGAAGTCCCAGTGTCCTATGTACCAATCAAATACTACGGTATGGCAGTTAAGTTAAGTCTGTAGGCCCTGTAGGATTCAGTAGGTCTGTTGATCCATCCCCGCCCCGTCTTGTCTGTTGGTCAGTCCAACCTAGTCCACAGCTCAGTCCCACGGAAGTCTGAGAAATTAACGGATGCGTCAAAGGCTGACCACGGCCGGCAAAGGCAGGTACTGGTACCCGTAGTGGGAAAAAAGTCAATGATAGGGAATTGCAGCGAAGTACAAAAGTCCAGCGGCAGCAACGTGTCGACAACAATAATATCCATTCGAGCCTGCTGTGGAAGCGCTGTTGCGGTCTTGTCCTACCCAGTGTCAAGCGAGGCTGAGAGAGTCGAGTAGAGTAGTCAACAGTGCACGGCGGCATAGCTCAGTTGAGCAAGAGAGAGACAAAGAAGCGAGAGGAAGACATTCACAGAGAGAGAGAGAGAGAGAGAGAGAGAGAGAGAGAGAGAGA